AGACATCTCACCTGCTAAAACACAGTGTATTCTTTACCTGTCACTTGAATGGGTCTGTGTCTTACTAAGGTGGCTGTGTTTTAGTCTGACAAAGAATCTGTGATGTGCCCTTTTCTGTACAGGTCAGCTAGTGCTGTGGGGGACAGATTGCTTTCTTAAACTGCACAGTCATGGGAAAGGTTCATTGATTTCTGTGCCTTCCTTCTCCAAATGCAGACTTCTCCTGTTGTGTGGGAACAATTACATCCTTCTGTTAGATACAGCACAGGACTCTGCCTTCACTATTGACAAGATAAAATGAAATGGACTTGAATGAATGGTGCCACTTGTGGTTGCGACTGGTAAACTGAGCTCTTGGCTTTCTCTGCAAAAGCAGCTTTCTTCTGAGACTGCCTAGGAAGGGAGCCAACAGAGTTGATTTGGAGTAGTTTTGTGCAAGTGTGCTTAATCTTCTGGATTTTGAAGACTTTCATCTTAATCGGCATAAGGAAGGGTTTTGGATTAACTGTATTAATAGAAGTTGGAGAAAGCTCTCTTCACACTTCTCTAGTTGCAGGCATCTGCTCTCTGTTTCAGGTTTGTTTATTCACAGCCTATACTGAGGCACCCACAGAGCCCTGCAGTCTGCAAGCTGCAGACACAGGAAGTTATGTAGCTTCAATATGTAAAAATATCTCTCTCAAAACCGGATTGTGCATTACAACCAGGAGAACTGACCAATATTTTGCAACTCAGATCTCTGTCCACATGCTTGCTCAGAGATGTATGCAAAAATCTTGTTAACACATCAAGTCTTGAGGTGTCAATAATGTAGGAGTTTGACAGGAACTCATTTTTTAGGGTAATGTAGTTTGATTTACAGAGCCACTATTTATCTTCTTGCCTGGTGTTAGCCTTTCCCCTTCTCAGTAGCCCCCCAGATTAAAAAACAAACCCAGCAAATCCTCTTGCATAAATTATAACCAGCAGAGGGCTGAGTCTGCCTTTCCTGCAAGCAAGAATTCCCCGCTTTGGCATGTGTCAGCTACCTAAGGAAAGGGCCTACCTAGAGGGAAATGCTACATGTGCTGGGGTGTGCAACTCCCTTTTGAGATCCAAAACTCTGTTTTTTTATACCTTTGTAAATAAATAAATGTGCTGGAATGTATAACACAAAGTGAGGATGAATCCAAGGCCTGAAAGCATCAGCAGCTTTTTTTTTTTTTTTTTTTTTTTTTTTTTTTTAAGTTGCATGTTCCAGGGATTGGGATGATAAAATGGGAGCATGATTTACAGCATAGCAAATGGGAAAGAGAAGAACTCTTTCTAGCTGACGTGCTGGAACTCAATCCTGCAGGAAAGGACTGAAGTCAGCATTACATCGTGAGCAATTAAGTGAGCTGACATTTCTCTTCTTGCATACAGAAAGGCGCTGTCTACAAAGAATTTGTGCTAGCCTGGTAGGGGGTGATGGTCACGGTGAAGAAGTTACTGTTCTGTTTATTGAAGGCTTGCTTGGGAAGGTTAGGTAGTACCAAGTAGAAGTAAGCGCTGATAGTTCTGCAGCCGCAATGGAGACTCGTTTAACCTTTGGGAGTGTAGGGTTTGATGATAAGCCTGGCAGTAGCTGTGTGGGACTTCAGTCAGTGTCCAGTGTACAGTTTTGTTATCAGCCCTCTTATATGCTGTTTGTGGGAAAACAGAATTGATTCTATGCTTATGTCTTTGCTCTTGAGTGTCAGCTAATAATTGTAACCCTAGTTAACAATCTCCTGTGGCAGGTAAACCTGTGTGGTTCAGACTGTCAGGCATGTATTGGTTGAAAAATCTAAAAGCTGGGATGAGCGGCTTCTGTTTTTTACCCCCCCCCCCGAGGAAACCTGTTTTTAGCTGTCTCTGTTAGCCTTGYGGAAGGTGTCTACCAGTCTGGGGAATATAGATTTCCTTATGGTTGAGATAATACTGAAGAACTCTTTACTTCCACAGTGTGTTAACTGCTTTTCTTTATTGTTTTGCAGTCTCCTAAAATAGAACAGCAAGAGAGGGATGGTTTTCGTGTTTGCTCTACACAGACCATAAGAATTTTTTTCAGTAAATAAGACCTTTATCTACGCTCGGTGTCCGAAATGCCTGCTAGAAAGTGTTGCAGTGTTGTTACTGGGATCTGTTCTTTATTTATGAGAAAGGGGAACTGGCATGTAGCTAAACCAGACTGCTGAGATTTATACACAGTAGGATGCGGAATTTATATTGTGGTGTTTTTATTACAAAGTGAGACTGTAGTTGGTTCTCTGAGTTTTTGGGCTTATTTACAGATGCATCAGTTTTTTGCATGTGGAAGTGACAAGCTGTTTTGTTAGCTGTATGGGCATCAGTCAATAAATCATTTCTGTCTCCTCTGTAATCAAATGCACCCTTTTCCAAGGTGATAGTGATCCCAGCAAGATAAACTGGGCCTCCCTACTTATTAAGCAGATGGTTGCCTCTGCCTGTATAAGGATTGCTGTGCTAACATGGAATGTGGTTATAGCAGGCAAGCAACAGTGCAGAGGGACTGATTTCTTTTTAATGCAGATTTCACTGTGTACTTTAATCTACAGTTTGATGGTCTTTGGAGTTGGAGTGATAGTGAAAGACACTGTGTTATACTGAGAAAAAAGTAGACAGAYGTGACTTTTCTCTGATATTAACACCTCCCCCCCGCCAAAAAAAAGAAGTACAAAAGGTCCACAAATAGCAAGCTCCTCTTTCTTCTGATTGAGACACAATGTTAACAGCCTGCCTGCAAATTTAGATTTGATACAGGAGGACAGGGATAAAACGCAAAGCAGGAAATGTGGGGCAGTTTTACAGGGAGGAGAAATGGATGTTCTGGCCTCCTTTATTAGTCTGGAAGCATTATTGTATTACTTGCACTGGTCTCTAGTCTTATCTACACCTCGTTTCACACCTCCTGTGGCTATGAGGACACAGAACAGCCAGCTCCTGGAATAGGCCCAGCTCATTTCACTTCTGTTGCTGACCAGCAGTTATCAGGCTGCTGCTGAAGAGCCATCACTCCTCTCAAGACCTCTGAAATGATAATCCTGCGGTAGCTTTCTGAAAAAACTCTTAATAAGCTAGTTGACCTTGGGCAAGTACGTTGCTAAGGTATTTACTCTGGGCTGTTGGTAAAAACTGGCCTCTGTTTCAGCCAGGTGTTAATGATGTTCTTTTAATGGACCTTGGGCCAATTCTTTGTGGATACTGTTTGTTAAATATTTGATGCAGCTATGTGTTTTAAATGAAACATGGTTTAGTCAGTGCTCCCTCATTGGTGCTTATGTGCATAACTGACTTGTCTCACAGCAGCACAGTCAGCTGGCAGTACACCGCTTTGCTGCATGCACAAAACTCACATTGAGTCCTTGTCCGATTGTCATATAACGCTAAGCTGTTCGTTTCCAAACAACTAGTTTTATTGAGGGCATTCTCAGCTGCAGTCAGCTCACACTAGATTTTAATTCTGCTTCCAGATTGTTATCGTCTGAATTTATTTACTGACCTCCACACTTAGACCTCTTGAAAAGCTGAATTCAAGACAAAGGAGGAGGGGGGGGGGAAAAAAAGATCACCATTCTGCATGCACTTCTAAGAAAAGGTAAGAGGATATGATAAAAATCAGACTGGACTTCTGTGGTTTGGCTTCCCTGCCTCCAAAAACCAAAAAGCCCAATTTCTTCACTAGAAACAGCAGCAAGTCATATCAGTCATAAGCACATAATGCCAGCTTACAGAGATAAGCCTTTATTGTATTTTGTCGGCAGCAAGTGGAACATGGCTAGGGTCTTAGATACAGAGAAGTCTGTAGCATTAGGTTACAATCAGTGGCAAATGAACCAAGATTACAGTGTAAGTATCAGTGTTGTGTACATTTAATAACAGTGGCTGGCATACAAATCACAACACGGTAGTCAAATGAAGCCGAGTATACAGGGTATAGCATCACATGAGGAAGCAACTCAATGTACAAAGAGCATTACATTTACTTTACATTTGTAGGCTCTTTTTTTGGCTAGTAAGTAGATACAGCCCACTTTAAAACTCAGTGTGCAGTTATTTTTCTTCCCACTCAACTGATAACCAAAATAAGACACAGTGAGTATTCAGATTACTTTTTTTTTTTTTTTTTTATGGTACAGCTAACTAAGGTTATTGCCAAATTGCATTGTTTGAAGTTACATTATTTACAGTATAGTTAGGAAAGGTTTAAACATCACTATTCTCTATGTGCTACAAACTGGGAGAAATTGGAAATGTTTTGGAAGCGTTCTGTAATTAGGCCACAAAGATCTCTCTTACTTTACTCAGAAGTTTATTTCTGGGTAACTTCTTTTGAGAGAGCAACTTACTGGGAAGAAAGATGAAGTTGTCAGCTATATTGCTCATTTTGAAATTTGTTGATAGCATTTTAAGGTTTAAATAGTTCAAAAGTCATACTTTTATTCAATGTCATATCCAATCTTAGTGTAAAAATAAACCCTCTGTCCTCTGTGGTTAAATAAAGCCATCTTTTGACTATGAGTTAGACCTTTCCAGTGGTGAGAGAGATTTAGAAAAATAGTGAGTTTTTTTCTTTAATGTTTACTACGCTGATCCACAAAGGAAAAATGCAATTCATTCAAGTCCAGAAACAGTAATACAGTGCAACTAATTTATAGAATGGCATTCCTTGCCCTCTATAAACTTGTTGAGCATGAAACACTGCTCTAAAGCACTGCTTCCTTTCCTTTCCTTTTTTTTTGGGGGGGGGAAGGGGGGAGGCGGAGCTATGATAGATACCTGGTCTGCCTTCCAGAATGGAAGCTTAGCAGGGCTCTGCTTCCTGATGACTCTTTAATAACAGTTCTTCATGTGGATTGTTGGTGGTAAGTTGGGCTATAGGGCAAGGACCCTTTAGCCCAAGTTGCACCAGTTTTCTGAACTGATAAGTTAGACGGAGATTGGTGGTGGGTATAACTTACCCATTTTAGGGGTAAGGGGGAAAACAAACCAACAAAAATAGGTGAATGATGAGTTGGACTCTCCRAACATCGGGTTTTCCTTAGACTTTCCAGTTATGCTTCTCCTTTCCATAGTTCCCCTCATCAAAGGGCAGATATGTTTTGCAAATACAGGTTTCATGCTCAACTTTGTCACTAAGAACTGAGCCAGACTTATAAAGCATTATAGCCTGAAGAGACTTGGCCATGCTTTTCGACATTTTAACTGCTTTTCGACAGTCCCATATACTTCCTCTCCCTCCCCTCCCAACAGTGTTGCTCTCTCTTGGAGTGCAAATGCCCCAGAATGATTGTGGGACAGCTGGAGGACAGGTGACATTCTGCAGCAGCAGTGGTAGTTTAGCACCAGTTGTTGGCCCCTGCAAAGGCTCGAGAGGAGAACAGAATTGCTTCGTAGACAGCTTGTTGACCTAAAAAGCTTAGTTAGTTTAATCAATAATTATTGATTTAGGGTTAGGATCACAAATATGACACTGCGTTTTGGAACTGGAAGACAATCGAATTTCTCCCTTTACTGTCCAAAAGGAGACTAGCTCTAAAACGTTTGTCCTTTAAGAGCCTTTGTTGTCTGTGATCTATAACTTGCTAGGCATGTAAGAATCATCATCGAGTGCGATATCTGTCCCTCGTTTAGTGGACAAAGCTTCAAGGCTTTTTAATTTTTTTTTTTTAACATCTGTGTTGTGTTGCCCCTAAAGGCATATCTGTCCATGCTTAAATTATGCAGCATTGCCCAGAGAATGGCTCTGTATAGTTGAATATGCTGTCTACAGTGCAGCCTGTATTTTCTTCTAGCTTATGTTTATATCTGTGCAATAGCTGTTTCTAGAAAGCTACACTAGTTGTTATCCAATAACTTTGTGCAGGGGAGCAGTGATAAGTAGTTAGAAGAAAATAGGGGAAAAAAATATCAGTCTAGCAAGTTAGGAGTTTCAGAACCGAATTCATATCATCATTAAATTTTCAAAAGCTGTACTGCTCTGAATCCTGTTCTTCAGGCCACTATGATTCTTTGAGCAGAATTATTTTTCATCTGCTTATAAACAGTTCTTTGCAGGAATAATGAATGAACAAGACTCTCTCCTATTGTGACTTCATTTTGCTTTGTTGGTTTACAGGATGCATTTACAGAGCTGCAGGATATATTAGGAGTGCAGAAATACACATATTTCCATATGCATAGATCATTAAATTGTAACAGTGCCAGTAGTAATCCAAGACCTGCCAAGATGTTCTGTTCCTCTTAATTAAACTTGATTTATATGTGCCTGTTGACTTAAGATGTAGTTAGTGTCCACTGCTGAGCTGACACAATACCCTGAGTAACTTTGTATTGATTACGCTTATGCAAGCTTGTGCTTTTCTAAGAACAGAGAAATGAGCACAAAGAAAATAAGTACATCAGGCTGTTTCCATGAAACACTGTTTAATCAACTTATTCATAACAACTTCAAAGTATGAAGTCAAAACTTACCTTCTGCTCTACTCCTTTAGAAACAGATCAGTGCTATAATTAACTCCCTTCTAGCTTAAAAAGAAAAGGTGGATAGATGTCAAAATATGCTTTTCTAATAGGATGAAGCTACTTTAAGTTTGTCATCACTAGTTATATCAGTATTAGTGAACTTTTAATACGCACATAACAACATGCAGTTACAGAAACAGCACCTGCTTTCCCTGTTGCCATGCCATAGTCTACTTTAAAAGCAACTGGTCTAGAATACTGTAGGCATTGTATAAATAAGTTTCCTCTAGGGAAATTATTAATATCTCTTTCCTTACTAAAATTGTATGCTATGTAAACTACATAGAGCAGTCTTTCTGTTTTGAATAAGACTGCAACAGGAAATACAGTTTGCGCCCTGGTTTTCTACTGTTCTCCTCTTGAAATTTTCCCACCGTGTTCCTTTACTGAAGCAGAAGGAAAATGTAATCTGCTGCAGTAACGTGACTAACAACTTTTAGTCTGCTATATGGATACCTTGAATCTCTTAGCCAATTTCTTATAAAATACCAAAAAAAAAAAAAAAAAGCCTTTCTCCTTACATTTGGGGGTACTGCACTTGTACAGTAGTACACACGAGCATGTTTTTATCATACACTGTATTGTTGGCTCTGGGAAAAGCAGTGCAACCTTTCCCCTGACTTCCTACTGTGTTGTTTAAGCCTTTAAGACAGGTGAATATCCTTTTTTCTCTCTCTTTCTCTGTCACACTTACTTCCATTTATTCTACTGCTAYACTGGATGCATGCAGGAAACAACTGTTTTCAAGTAGAAGTTGCACTACATCAAGCACACTTCTAGATCCAGGCAGTGAGGCTTAAATCCACATGCTATCTTGGGCTTGAAAATTAGCAGCAGCTGTGACCCATTCTAGCTCTCCTGTACCAATCAGTGGAAGATAGCTAATTACATCCAACTAACTTCTAAAATCTTGTGGAATTTGTTCTAATAGAGATAGCAGTCCACATRGTTTCACAAATATCTCCTTATGGCCAGTGATAAGACATAGAATCATAGAATCACAGAATGCCCAAGGTTGGAAGGGACCTCAGAGGTCATCGAGTCCAACCCCCCCCCTGCTCACGCAGGGTCACCTAGAGCACGTGGCACAGGGCTGCATCCAAGCGGGTTTTAAAGAGCTCCAAAGAAGGAGACTCCACAACCTCTCTGGGCAGCCTGTTCCAGTGCTTTGTCACCCTCACAGTGAAGAAATGCTTCCTTAAGTTCCTGTGGAACTTCCGATGCTTCAGTTTGAAGCCATTTCCTCTAGTCCTCTCCCATCCAGGAGACATTTTGATATTGTTTACTTACATAGCATAGAGGAACGTATAGTGACTCTCTTGCCACAAACTGTTGAAATTGGAAGTCAGATAATTCAGCCTCTGTGATGAAAACTTTCATATGCTATTTAAATTCTTGTAACTCTTGTTTATCAATAGATTATTAATTAAATATAGAAGTCTCAAGGTTTCAGTCTTTGCTATAGTTTTTGTAGACTAGCTTGCTGACTTCTTTTAAAGTACACTTAACCATTAAACTTCCTCTGATACAGTATATAGGACATTAGATTGTGCAGAGTTAAGGCACCAAATACAAGATAGAACAGTATGCAAAATAAGAAATCATTTTTAGAACTATTATGCTGAGATGACACGGTCATCTCGTAAAAAAACTAACACAGCTAATTTTAGTATGACAGTACATTGCCTGCACATTACCAAACAGGCCTAGCAGAAAGGGTACCCCATCTTGAATACCCCAGACTAAACAAATTGGCATACTTGCCATTTGCATGTTCTCATTATCTTATACATTAAATTACAAACAAATAATCAGATGAAGTGCTGAATCACTCTGAGCAGGAGGAACAGAATGATGAATCGGAGGCTCTCAAGAAGCTACATATTATTAGGTATAGTTTTAGATGAGACAAACTTAGTACAGACTAAAGCATCCCTTTGTTATGGGATTATTAAGTCAATAAAGTTGTTATTTTTCAGGAGATTGATTCAGTAGAAGTTTAGAGAGGGCCTACGTCCTCTGAACATTGAAGCTTAGTTATGGGTTTTTAAGATGGTACAACTGTCTCGCAGAACTCATTTTCATTCTTTTAATGACAGAGAGGAGAGGTCCCAGTCTGTTTTAGTACTGAGAGCAGCAGSCTGATCTTTATTTACATATTTCATCATGTATCCAAGACAATCTGTCATGACAAAATTCTTGTGCTGTTTCCCAGAGCCTCAGGAAGCAGGAGCCTTTGTTAGCTTATTCTGCAACTCGGAACTCATCTGAAGCTGGGGGACACATTTTGCCTGATTAAATAACAGGCAGCTTTTTAAGAGAACTTGGCTAAAGGCAATTAGTTCTGGTGCACAAAGATCATATCTTAACCTAAGGAGGCAGAGGGAAATTTGCTGTTTTGTCTCATTACACACAGAAATACTGTCTGCTTGTTCTTCATTCACACGGCTCTGGAGTGATGTCCAGGAATCTGACCTCTAATCTGTGATGATCTGCAGGTTCTCAGAGGGTAGATGTAGAATCACAATTGAAATCAAGTTACTGTATGCTCTTAGACTATTTCTTTCTGTGGATGAGCAGCTGAAAACCCAGCAAATGCCAGACTTGCTCTTTCAGATATTGCTGGACTGATCAGGGATGCTACGTTAACTCCAAGATAGCAATAAATCCAGCAATTCTATGAGAAAGGCCAAGAATTTAATGCACCACAGTTGAACAGCCAAATCAGAGATTGTTTTTTAGACCAGCTTAAAAATGTTAATACTACTACTTCTTCATTTTCTAATAATGCAAGGAAGTTGTGGGCAGGGAAGTTTTCTCAATAGTCAATGAAATGCATAACCCTCAATTTCAGAGCTGTGTGTCTTTTCCCACTTGAGCTCCTTCAGTGACTACAGGACATAGTCTTTTATTAAGACATTTTTTAGATCTTTTTTTTCTGCCAGGAGGCAAATATTCTTAAACAAAGAATCTTAGCCCTTTTTCCAGTGAGCAGAGATACGAAGATAATTGTTGCAGGTAATTGTAACCGACTGGAAATAATAGTCTCTTGGTGCATTAAGAGATTAAAGATTTTTAGGAAAACTTTCCCTGAAGCTCTTCATAGGTTGATTACCAGTATTGAGGATCTCATACCAGAAACATCTGTATGTTGAAGAAGTACTCTAAAGAGAATCAGTTATTTGCTTGGAAACTAGAAAGAGATCAAAAAAGATGAAGAGGGCAGAAGCAAAGGCATTTAGCTCCAGTGAGAGTCCTGTCAGCAGGGCTTACAGCACATTAAATYGGAGACATGACAATTGCTGAATCATCTAATTAACTCATATTGGCTGCATGACAGCAAATTAGACAGATTAGGAACCACCTACCCAGGAACTAAATGGCCTTTGTGAGGGTTGGATTGTGCACTGTTTCCAACAGGAACTGCTTGGGCAACGGAGGCTGCATGTTCCACATTCACATCATGGGTACAGGCTGGCCCCCCTCCATCTGGGTGGCACACTGCCCAGGAATAAGGTCACCATATTCCAGCTCCTGAATGTGAGTTTAAGGAATACAGCAGAAAGCAAGCATTGGCAGAGAGGGGACAGAAGGGTAAAAAGCATCATTTACCATGCTTTTTGCTAGCCAGGCCCTTTCTTTCACAGTCACTCACTGTTGTGCTGCAACACAAGCATTTAAGCAGCAAATGTTGATGGAATTAAATTTCAAGAAGCTGGGAAGATTTTTATGTGTTATTTGTATCACAGCTAAAACAACTTGAGCACCAGACAGCACTGTCCTACCAAACCAATCTGCTTTCCTAAACTAAATAGGATGTACTTAGAGAAATATCTCATAGCTAGAGAAACAAAACTTTAGTTACCTTATGAATTAATATTTTCTTTTAAAATTCACAGCTTTGGATCCATGAAGTGATAGGTATTCAGCATCCTCACCTATTGGGAAGGCAAATGCCTGAGGTATGATTAACAAGGTACAGCACTTAGGGGTTTCTAGAAAGGCTGCTTTAGAACTTCAGGTCACCACTGCAGCTGGTGAAGCAGAGGTGCTGACACCTGATTTGTATCCTGTCACTGATGTACCAGACATTTCCTGAAGTCATGTGCTGATAGTGTTTTTTTTTTTTTTTTTTTTTCTAAAAAGCTCTGGTTATCTTTCACTTCTTCTAAAATATAAAGGAAAACTGCTTCTAGAATATATGAACCTATAGCAAAGGTCATCACTGCTCTTAAAACAGTACAGCTGTACTAGAAGTCAACTGGGATTAAATTCCCTGAAGGAATATGAGCTAGGGAGAACTGCTGTCCTGTACAGGGAGTTCAAACACTACTGGGACAACAGAAACAGGCTGGCTTGTTATTTCTTACACATATGGTCCCATGAAGCCCAAACTGGTAGCAAGAGGGAAAGCAAGAACCGGCATGATTATTCCTTTAGATACAAGAGCAAGAAGAGGTAAATATTATTGTACTATACATACAGAACAGTTTATATTCTAATTTCTGATTTGTGTAGATAGCATTATATCCACATCTGTCTTTCCAAAGTCAATTTTAAAGCCATTCATCTCCAGTCTAGATAATACATTAAACAGGGAGATTCTTAACTGGAGAGCACTGGTTTCTTTTAATCCTTTGTGCCAGAAACAGTCTCAGAATTCATGCTAGCATCTGCTTAGCTAAAACTACAGAGTTAAGATGGGAAGAGAATTGATAGAGAATTTATGTGTCATCCTATTTATATGTAATAACTGAAAGGAACTTTTTCAGAATGGAGTTACAAAACAGGCAAAGATTTTAGCAGCTGCACCAAGACACAGAACCAAGTTTGTGTATTTAACTATCAAAATAGATGGAGAGCTCAGCAGCAGTAAAATTGAAGACCTCTAACCTCACAGAAAAGGCACWTTGGACCATTCTCCTGTGAGATGGCTTTTAAAAGAAATCTTGCAAATGCAATACAAAAGAAAGCAGTTCCTAATTCTGCCGTAGGGAAACAATCATTGTTGCAATAGGAGATGAGGCAGATGTTACCCAATCCRAATACCCAATTGTTATTTACTAAACAATAGACTGGTATTTCATTTAGATTAAAAATGACTGTTGGAATGGAGCCTCTAACTGTTTTCCTAAGTATCAGTGTATTAGGCACTTAGGAGGCCTACAGCAGTGGCACATCAGCTTGTGTGAATGTTTTGCTTAAGAGACTCTCAGTGAGACACAGGTTCCTAGGCAACCATACCACCTTAGGAGCTTGTTACTGATGTGAAGTTGCTTCAAAGAACAGGATTTAGGAGTCCGGAGGACACTATATATTTTGCATTAGGAGCTGATCCCATGCCATCAAAAGGTATCCATCCTGCTGGGGAGAGGAGCAAAGCTAAGAGGGACAATTTGGGGCATAAGTAGTTGCATTGTGAGCAGAAATGCATTTGAGGGAATGGATATCTTTTCAGTGAAAAGGACAAGAGATAATTCAAGAAGCTGAGAATTTAAAATGAGCAGAAGGGCAGAGCGTTTAGGAGTGGACGAGTTAAAAGTCCAATGATGGAAATACATAGGAATTCTGGTGGAAGCCTGGATTAAGGTGCCAAGTAAAGGCCACATAAAGGAGGAGATCAAATAAGAGTTAGCAAGACTTTTTACTATTCAGTCCTTGAACTGGACAGTGCTCATCAGGCTGTCATGAGTTAAGCCTTGAAGGGAATACTCAAGAGTTCATTAGAATGCATCTTAACATTATCTTGAAATGTATAAAACGTCTTCCGAAGGAAACAGAGCAGCCTGCTGCTCCACTATCAGAGGATTGCTTAGCCTGACAGGCAGAAAGAATGAATTGAATTTTAAGTAAGCTTCAGATTAAGCCCTAAATTTGCATCTTGAAGACAAGCGTAGAGATGCAAACTTGCACCCTGAAGTGGGAAGGGTGCATAGAGGGTTCATCAGGTGCACCTGCAAATGGAATCAAAGTTATGTGCTTCAATAGGCTAGTCAGTGGCGGAGTTCCTTAAGTTTATTCCCTCAGGTGCAAATAGGTAGGCCACATAGCAGATCAGGTTTCCACCTATATTAGCAAAGCTAACAGTATCTAATACTATTTTTCTATATCAGCCTATGAATTCTGCAGACATATCCTGAGTCGTGTATAACCTACACATGCAGTTGCTTACTGAAAAAATGATTCCCGGAGTGAAATGAAACAGCTTATTTTTGCTGATACATTTTGATACAAAACAAGCTTTGACCCCATTTTTACACTACATATTACATACTAAGTATTTACTTGTTTTACATCAATATAAACTGCGATCAGTCAGGATTTTTTATGCTTTTACCTCTGAATTGAGAGACCTAGAATGCAACTACAAGATTTTTTATTTTCTTTAATATTTATGTAAAAAGTTGTTCCCAGCAACTTCAAATTACAATAACCGCCATGGCACCGTACTGTTCTATGCATTTTTGTGTAATGTGAGGCTACATAAAGGCAAATAAAAAACACTCCCAAACAATAAGGTTTTAAATCTGTATATACTATGCGCACCACATAGTTTGCAATCCAGAACCCTTCTAATCCAAATAAAAAAAGTGTAAAAACATTTATTACAGAATTTAAAGTAATTATTTATGGATGGCTCTCTCCTAATTTCTAGCTTTAGAAAACTACAGTAAGCAATTTATTCACGCAGAGTTAAATCACTGCCTGCCTGCCTGCCTTTCCTCCCACTGCATCCCCAAGAGGAAAGCAAACCTGGCTGTTTCATGAATTCATTTGGCCTAATGTAATTTGATTTTAGCTGTAATATCATCAAAGCCTTTTTCATTGAAGTTTAGCTTTAATAGTTTAAGGAAATTATTTATCTCTTATTAATTAGATAATATCACACTTTAAACTTCACATTTTTTTCTTCTATATAGCTATAACCATGGTATGGCTTTCAGTACAGACCATAGTCATGGCTTTGGTACCTACCCAGATCTTTTCCACAAGTACGCAAGGAATGCATACAGCAGTATCAATACAGTTTTTTAGGCTACACACACACACACACACACACATACACACAAGAAAAATGTAGAACAGTCTATTGATAAAAACAAAATAGTTTCTCAAAAGTGTTAAATATTTTTTTCTTTAACTGGAATATTTGAAGTGGCCTTTAAAAATGCAAAGTTGGAATTCAGATCTATGTATAATTTTTAAAAATATTCAGAGTTAAACAACACGTAATAAAAATGTGCCATATATAAGATTGTCAGGTATACGCGACCTTTTAGAAAAAGCAATACAAATTCTTAAGCTGAAAATAAAATTTCTTACCTGTTACATCACGATCTCAGCTTACAGTCACTACATTTCTGCTTATTTTATACAAGTGCATATGGCTATGAAGGTCCGGAGAGAATGAGAATAAAGTGGCATTAACCTGCTGAAAACTGCTTAAAAGTCTTAAGCTGCAACATATAGATGTTCCAATACCATTTAAATAAAAGGACATTCACTCGCAAACACCTGACTGTCAATTATTGCTGATTACTGATTTACAATGATAGAATATGAACATTCAAATATTTAAAAGAAGAAAAGAATAACAGTAAGTTAGAGCAGCATTCTTTTTTGAACTGGAGGTTTACCAAAGTCTAGGTTTTCTTATCATTTGGTATTAATTTTAAGAGACACAAAAACCAACCCATTTGGGAGAAAATCAGGTCTACCTTTTTTGTGCCTTGATTAAATGATATAGTGTAGAGAGAGAGAGGGTAAAAATATCATTTAGTTGCATTTTGGAAAAAAAAAWTTTTTTCTTCCATCTTTTTTGCTACATTTCATGTCTGCTGACATGGGCAATGGTGTAAAGCACTGTTGCTTCAAGAGTGACCATTGCAAATCTTTGTAGCAACTTATGTAGAAGACATGCAAATACAGTCATACTATTAAAATTCTGTAATATTTAAATAGTGAAAGTCAAAGCAGGATGAGCTGCTTGAAGCAAGCACCCTGCTGGGTCTTTGTTTCCCCCCAAGGGCACACACGCAGACACACACACCAGTCTTTCCCTTCTACTGTAAAGAAATAACTGGGAGAAATATATACACATCTATTGCTATGTATCCAAAGAAAGGACTGTGGCTTGGAATAAGTATTGCTTTTCATTAAATGGAACAAAGTTCAAGGAACGGAGAAAAACGCTTTAAAAAAAAAGGAAAAGCTCAGATTCCGTGTCTGAAGTTGAGAACCCTCAAAACGAGCCATGTTTTTTCTTGCTTTTAAGACATGTATAAATGCCATTTGGAGCCACACAACCTGATGGTTCTAGAAGTCAGAGAAGAAATCTTGAGGGCCCAAGTGAATAATAAAAGGTGCGATGCTGAGAGGCTGGCAATAGGGACTGTCAATGAAAAAACCACCTACAGTGGGAAAAGAGCAGAGAAGCAAAAACTTCATGTTAATTTCAAAGACACTGGCTGAAGCTAAAGCTCCATTTAAATTTCTCTGCTCTTTCGGCTGCAAGTGGAATTTTCATTGTAAAATGGGCACTTTTAATTCTTTGGAGGTACTGAAACATCTAACACTTCCAAGGTTACCGCTTTCTAAACAAAGAACTGACAGCTCATTCATATTTTCAGTAAAGCAGAGAAATGTAAAATATGCAGCAAGGGGGCAAGTTTACAATGTGGTTAGTAACTCCCGACAAATGACAAAAAATAAAAAAATGACTTATAAAAATTATCTGAAATGACTGCCATCATGTTGGAAAAGAGCATAGCGCCCTCCTTTATTTTTTTAAAGAAGGGACAATTTATTTAAGCTTACAAATTTTGTAATATACAATTGGTTCAGTCAAAATTTTGTTTGAAATTTATTGTTTTAAATTCAGGGATTAAATAAAAAAGGAAACTAACTTGACCAACAGTTGCCAATCAAGGGAACTCCAAAGGAGAAAATAGTTTGCTCAGAGGAAAGGCTCTTTCAATGAATATTTGATTAACAAAATGGGCTCTTATCAGCCATGCTTTTTCTGCTCCGTGATGGCTTCCTTTCATCCATAGGCCAGCAAACTATGTCAGTGATTTATGAGCACCATTCAATTTGAATACAGCCTCAAGACCCTGCTCTTTATTTCAACACTGATGCATGGATGACAACAGCAGGCTCACCACTACTTGTCAGTAAGAGCTACATATTTTATTAAAGTACCACCAACACCAAAGGAAAGAGCTACAGCAGGAAAAAAACCCAAAACATTTAAGATATAAACATATTCCTAAGCACAAATACTTAGCTTAACAGCTGCAGTTAATTCTAAGAAAAGCAGCTTGTTACATAAGCCACCCCTTATTATGCTGTTCCAATATTTCTTTCCCTGTAATGGGTGGTGGAGGGGAGGAGGAACTTTACATTGCTCTAAGCATCATTGTTACACCCTCTTCATATATAAAGCTCCCCCTGCCTCAACAGCAGCTTGTTGGAGAACTGTGTACAAAGGCATCTTCAAAAGCACAGGACTATAGCAGACTTACTGAAAAGCAACTGGTGAGGTCTGATAAGTGCAACCAACAAAACTGCTTATTTTGTGGGGGTGATACCTTAATAAAGACTGCTTGAATCCCTCATGAGCCCACAGTACAGCAGTTTTTATGCAGAAGTCTAAAATACATGGAGACCACATGGAGCTGAGGCCCGTCCTTTAGAATTTCAGACAGGTGCACACACTCCTCATCTGAAAGAAGATTTAGCTTGAGCACCAACTCTTACAAAAAGTACTGGCCTATGGCTGAAGTGTGTCACTTTCCACAGCAGCACTCAACAAGAACGGGGACAATTAAATAGCAAGTTTTCATGGGGACCTTGTTGCTGCTTTAGATTCTTACAAATATAAGGGGAAAAAGGAGAACCCTTTAATAGAAAGATTGACAACTAAAATACTTTCTGTAAGAATGCTGCATGGAAAAAAAACAAGGGTGGGCAGACAATCTTAAAAGTGAAGAAGGCCACAAGAACAAGTGCAATTTATTCCTTTTTTTTTTTTTTTTTTTTTTGGGGTTAAAAAGAAAGAAAGGGAAATGAACAGCTTTTGAGCTCTGAAGAACTTGGTTGTAACACAATTATTGTCCTTTCTCTGGGCAATACAGACTTAACTATGTGTACCTTTTATTATGTAACAAGTCTTTTTGTGGAAATTGCATTTGTTTTTATACATATTTCACAAAATGTAATACAAAGACAGTCTAATATTAATTCCCTATGTTTTCGTTTTTCAGTATTTTGTGTACAAGCGAAAAGCCTTTGTGGATAATTAGGAGAGTGTCTAAAATCACTGAGAGTTACGGTTGGCTCATTTTAAAGTTTCTAAGGATCCTATTTCAGGTACTGATGCTTAACTCTATAAAAAGAATAAGATAAAACAGTATTTTAACCCATGTTTTACTAAGTTTATTACACACAATAATATTTACAAGAGTTAAATTTTAACTGTAAATTTCTGTTGTGGCTTTGTACTTCTATTTTTAAATAACTATGCCCTGCATTAGATAGCCCTACAGCAAGTACAGGTCATTAACTGAAAATCTCTGTGACTGCATTAGGAAACAGGCAGTACTCTTGTGTTACAACAAAACAGTTTATTTGTGATCAGTGTTTTATAGTCTATACATCCTTCACAATTTTAATTTTACATAATCGGATACTTCATTTAAAACGTAAGATTTAAGCTTCTAGTTCTTCCCTATAACAGAAGGCTGGTATAAGTTATTTGAAAATGAGGTAACATTTCACAGAACATTTTTTTCAAGTTTTAGAGAACTAAATCTGCATTTTGTTAAAATCAAAAAGTAGGAAAAGATGTTTCTTTACAAATGACTTTGCTCAAGTATGTGTTCAAAGAAAACAGGATAAAAAGGCTTTTTTTTTTCTTCTAACATTCTGTACTGTATTGTGTTGTTCAATCAATAGGAATTAGCTTCTGCCATTTGCTAAAAGAATGAGTAGTGGGGAACAGGATATGTTGGGAATTTCATAACTGGTAACAGAACCATTCTCTTGGGTAAACCTACAGAGAGAAGAAAGGGAGAGGACTCCAAATAAGTTCAGTGATCCAAGAAAGTCAGATAAAAGCTTACAGTAGTGTTCCTATTAACCTTTTCCAGATGAGTCAGTCAATGTGATTTTAGGGTGCAGAGTCCCATAAACAAAAACACTATAATACTTTGTAATATTTCAAACAGATGGTTAGCTTAAAGTTTGTTTTTATTTTTGCCCTGGTGTTTGGTAAAATTAAAATAAGCAGTATTTTCAAAAGCAGTCTATTTTGAAGAGAGTTTGGATTTGAATATCTGTATCTCAATCTTGAAGATAATTAACCTCCACTATTTTGTTCTATATTCTTAGTTAATTTCATAGGTCAGTCACAAATATAGACAGACACTGCTACACATTACAGATAATTCATAGGCAAGCTGTGCAGCAGTTTTGATAAACCTCCAGGTAATCATCCCCCAAAAAAACAAAGAGCCCCCCCTTCTCCCCCCCCAAAACCCAAAGGCCTACAGCAAATTCTGCATCTGCTTCATCTATTATTCTGCACTTGCTCTGTTGTATTGAAGTGGCAAATCTGGAAAGATTAATATCTGCCTGATTTTGTGATTATTTTAAGTTCTTGTGGCCTCGCAAACTTCTTCACACTTACTTTTTAAAAAAAATGTTTCCTATTTATATTCTAATATTTAACCTATGTATCCATTTAGAAATCACAAAGCAGCAACAGCAGGTATTCCAGAGCACCAGATGATCAAAGTGAAGTTTCCCAACATGCAAGAGCTTTACAAAGGCAAAGAGACATGTTTACCTTACAGCCAAAAAGCATTATCCCAGTACTTCGCATCACAATCATAAGACAGTAAAAACAGAAACTCTTTATGTGAAAAATGGGGGCATTCAATTTCACAATGCTTTGAAGTCAGTGATATGTCACATGTACACAGTTAAGTGATTAAAATCCAGCCCCCAAAATAGACATCATGAAGAGAAAAACAAACGCAGAAAGAAGGGAATGAATGAATATAGCAAAAAACAAAGGAAAAGTGCCACTCATCTATTGCAGAGAAGCTGATAACAACTGACCCTTGTCTTCTGCAGGGATTTGTCTTATGTCACTATGTGTCTCTGCTTGTAAGAAATACCTGTATGCAAATACCACTCATGTTGGAGTTAGAGGCAATTGCTTGAAAAGAACCAGAGGGATCCCCGAAGGAAAACTGCTGTGACATAAGCTCTAAACTACGTTTTCTTCCTCCTTCTCTACACTGARGAACAGCTGTTCTTTTACTCTCCGTCATACCACACACAAGACAGGGCACATGCAAGTACACTCCACAGGAAAGCACTACTGTCAGCTGTGGCTCTGTCAAAGTTCTTAGACAATCAATAAGACAGGTATTGTAAAACCAGAGAAGCTGGCTTTAATTTTGAAGGGAAGTACATCTCATAGGCCCATTCTCTTGCTTCTTTCCATTGAAGAAATACAGAATGGGAGTAGCTACTATCAAAGTGGGCATTTTCAATACTAGAGCAGCAGCGTTTTTCCACTATTTAGAGCACATATCTCTAAAAGCAAGTAATGAAATCAGTGTTTCATAATATTTCATAACAGCATTAAGAGAGGTTAGTATTGCCCAGTCTGTACAAATTTGAGAAACAAGAATTAGAAATGCTACAAAAGCCAGAAAATGAATGCCAGCTTCCATGTTCTGTTTTCCATATGAAAAAATGTAGGCCTTGAAATGTACTTAGTTTGTCCTTGAAATTTACTCAGTTTGTCATCTGAGTAGCAGGATTTTCTCCCAATTCTTGTGATAGGAGAGAACAGTAGGACTGGTTCTGATAGACAGTCTTGTGTTTTGTGTGCCAGAACATATCACTGACTCCAGACCGCTTTGCTCCCATTGCCACATAAACCTCATTCAAAGTAACCAAAAGGGCCAGTTAGAGATAAATATGCTTTGTTAGTCTAGAATAAATAAAAAATAAATAAATAAAAGCTGATGGGTAGGTAGAGGTAAGCTGAGGTAAGAGAAACCTTTCCATCTTAGCACGGCAGTTATTACTTTATTTTACAATATTCGTGAAACCATTAATTTGCCATTCTAATTTAACCATGTTTCTTAGCAAAAAACCTGAGACAGATGATCTTATCCTAGATTCCTTGAAACGAGATTACTAGTGAGCTGCACAAAATGATCTTTTGTCCTGAACAGCAATGTTTTAGCCTGCAGATACATACATTTATAAGTATATGTGTGTATGTGTTTATGTATGTATGCATATATATATCTATATATATAGGTAGATCTTTATAGTATTGGTCATTTCATACAGCTGACATTAAAGCATTAAAGGAACTCTGTCCACAAACTATTTAAACTCGTGGACAAACATTTTGCCAATATTATTGTTATGTCATTTTGCTAAATACTGCTCAGAGATGTGTGAATAGGGTGAATAGGCCCTTCGGTAGTCTTTGAATGGAGTACAGATTGGCTGTAAAGAGTAAGAGAACTATTTAAATTCAGTTTCAGTATGAAAGGGAACAGGCAGTTAAAACAAGCAGTCCTTCCACAGATCAGGCAAAGCATAGGCAAAAAGGCTACTCCAACCAAAAAAGAACCACAAGGTTATGGCATAAAAGYGTTCTTGTTGTCATGGTTTAAACTTTAATTTCTTTAAATTTCTCCTGCAAATCCTAAGCCAATTTCTATACTTGGACTTCCACATAGTTTATAAATAATTTCTATTTTGTAATTATTGGGCTATACATACCGTAAGCTGGCGCAGCTGTGCTATACCCATATGGTGCTCCATAGCCTGCAATACAAATAGATGAGGGATGGGTTTCACTCCGACAGTATCCAAGGACATCAGTTTGCACAGTAACACACAGGGGCCATTGCTGATGTATCGGGCAGGAACATAGGAGAAAACTCACACCACTGCATCTAAATCCTGTTGAAAATACTAAAGTCCTTCTGCAGAGCGGCATGGAGAACAAGCTACCCAATGCCTTTTTAAGCCTCAGAATCAAAGAGTAATTTTCTATATTCCATTTCTTTAGCACTCTCCCTTAGTTGAAGCCCTCCAGCCTACACTGTCAGAGCAAGACGCTAGCAAGATTCAGAAGCCAAATATTTGCTTGCATTCTCTCTAAAATACGTGTATGGTTTAATGCAGAGAACAGTCATTTTTCCTTGCTTGCATTATACACAGGAATGTTAGAAACCTGTGGCACATATTCACATTATCATCAATGGAGCTTGTGTGACTTTTTCAGTCTCTGCCATTTATACAATGAAAAGAAAATTTTACGTAGGACACCTGAACACCCAGAGGCAAACAGATGACAGGCAAACCACCAGACATGGCTGCGGCATGATACAGAAAAGAACAGTGGTAACACCAATCTTAGTACCTTACTAAAGCTTTTTTATTATTATTATTATTTTATTTTTGGATGGGATCTCTTTTGTGCACCACAAAAAGATTTCTGAGAAGGATAGGGACTGAAGACCTGTGAAGGCCAAGACTAATACAGCTTAACAACTACAGTGACTTGGAAATTAAACCTGTTTCTGGAGTAACTCCATGCTGGCAAGGAGCACACCCCTGGCAGGTTAAAGTGTCTCATAAATGATTCCTCAGGCAGAAAGACAGTTCCAAAAACAATGTTAACGGCCATTAAAATTGAATKACTGTTTTTTAATATTTATAATTACATCAACATAGAGGAGCAATGAAGATGTCACATGGTTGACTGTGCCAGGAAGTAAGTCTACTAAACAGCAGGGCTACACTATTAACATGGGTGAATTGCTGAAGGATATGATTAGAACTCATGCTGTAATCTGAAAACTCAAAGCATCAAGAATATTAATTTTATTTTTTGGAAGCTACTGGATTTCCTTTGACTGAGGAATCTCCAGCATTTCTCATTCGTAAAGATTTGTGATCTTTATTCAAAGTAGTGACAATGTCTTGCCTCTCTCTGCATGCCAGCTGAAAATCTCAGACCTTGAAATTGTAGTCACAAAGAACAAGATCTTTTGGGTTCTAGGCCACCTCAGCAGCTGCTAACAGATGCTTTGCTAACATCCCCAGGTCACATGGGAAGCTTCGGGGTGCACTCTGGGGAGTTCCAGGGAGTGATTCTTGAGTCTGCCTACTTAACCCCAGAGCTCCAGAGCACACAAAACAGCATAGCAAGAAGTTCCTGGGAAAGCCACTCACTCCTAATGCTAAGGGGGCCCATCACCCAGGAGGAGCTTTAGCTAGAAGGAGAAAGATGGTGCCATAGCAATGGACTATGTAAAGGCAGGAAAGCCACTGTGGGCTCGCTGTGCTTGTGCCCGATGCACATGGAGATTCAGGCTGCACATTTGCAAGGAACAGGTGATGCCAGATTTTCAGGTCTTCATGTTGTTTAAAGCCTGCGAATCCTCCCTTTTGCTTCACTTCACGTAATGAAGGCTGAAGAGATCACTTGCACAGATGAACACGCATGCAACAGCCCACTGACGCTCTCCATGCCTTACCTGGTGTTATGTAACCAGTAGCAGCAGCTGCCCCAACAAACGCCCCTCGTGTTAGAGCACCTCGTCCTCTGCCGCGAGCAGCCTGGACTGCTGCAGAAACAGCAGGATTGACAGCCCCTTTTGTCTGCTCAGAGTAATAGAAATAACAGCAATTCAGAATGTGAGTTCTTAGAACAACAACTCCGTATGTGTAAACAGCAGTACTTACCTGAGGGAGAATCTTCTTTTTCTTGTTGTTTGCTGCATTAGGCCCGGAAAACAGTTTCTCAAGGGCTGCTAATGCAGCACTTGCCTTTGCTACTTTCTTATTTGGGCCTGCACCTCTGAACTTCTGCCCATCTACTTCTACCTGAAAATTAAGACATAAATTTATGTCTGCTATTTATCCTACTGGGAATGCTATGCACTTACAGGCCAGTGATGAGCCACAACTGCACCCATGAAGAACTTCAGTAGTAGGAATACTTAATATTACATGTGGTTCTTACTGCTTAAAGATTATAAGGCTGGCAGAGAAAACATAAGTGATATGTAACATGAGGTAGGAGGTATTAGGAATCTATATGTATTTGAAACTACAATGCAATTAAAAGAGGAATGCTTCATTTACTTGGAATGAAATATAGCCAGTGTGCATGAGGTTTGCAACAAATGATATCACTGCAGAGGAGTGATATCAGAAATCATTTGAGGCCTCCTATCTTTATCAGTGCCTCTTCCATCAAAATCCATGATTGCCTGCACTTATGCACATTCACTGAGTGGAGTGCTGCCTCATACCACTTTTGCAGCCATGAGTGTTACTCCAGAGAAAGCACAAGCAGAAGAGAAAACAAATGAGTTTATCCTTGCTACAATCATTCCAGGTATTCTGGGTCAGCTGGCAATGGAAGGTTCACATCAGGTTGCTGACATGTTAACAAGGAAGTCTGAAATATTTACTATCAGTTATTTTGGTCTGTGAGGCCTCCTCTTCCTCATGTCAAGRCATGATACGATTTGGTAACAACCCAGTCAAAACACAGTTGTAATGCTCATTTTCCCAAAACAAAAGAATTTCTTTCGCCAGCATGATCATCACTATAGTAGTAAGAGATACAAATTTTTGAGATTATCATAGTATCAAAAAANAAAAAAAAAAAAAAAAAAAAAAAAAAAAAAATCTGTCAGTACCTGCAGATACTGAAGTGTACTTAGTAAAACACGCGTGGACTCCACAACTCTGCTTCACTCACCTCCATCACAAAGCGCTTGTCATGGCTTCCACCTGTCTCAGAGATAAGCTCATATTTCAGACCTCTTCTCTTTTCATTGAGCTCCATCACTGGGTTTTTGCCACTTGCAGTGAGTATAGGGCCCTGAGTTCTTACCTAGAGAGACATTTATGATGTTGCYTTATAGCTTTTATCTTCTCAAATGGCAGAAAAACATCAAGACAACAGTCTTAGGGCTTACGGCATCATATGGCCAGCTACTTAGAGAATGCCACCATTATCACTTTGTTTCAAAGTGATATACAAGCTATGTACAATAGCTTGTTCTTCCCAGCTTGTTGTACAGCAAGCTGTCCAGGAATAGACCTGTGTCGAAGATAACACTGCCTTGGCTTGAGGATAAGCTGCTGTGCTAGACAGATAGAGCCTCTTGCTAAAGAATGGCAGAGGGAAAAACAAGTACCGTAAAAACCAGAAATGACACCATCCCATCTTCATTTCTGTCCCTAATTGAGAGCTAGTTAGATGTCAGTGCCTTCATGACTTGGTGCAGTACCTATACAGGGCTGAACTTGGAATTTCAACTTAAAGGGTATCTATCCAAAGCTGAAACTGATGCTGTGGTGTCAAGTTCCTTGAAAGCAAATGCTTTATCGCTAAAAGGAGAGATTGGCTCTCCCAGCCTTCTAAATATCTTTGCTGTTTGCTCTAATTACATCCTGGCACTATTGAGCTTAAAGCAGATACATCTAGAAAAGTTCGGGAAGTGAGGAAGGTAGAGCTGAGACTCCCACATGCCAACATAACAGCCTCCATTACAGCTTACCGAGCCAGGGACAGGAAAGCCTGCTCACTAAAAGGGGAGGGAGGGAGGAGACAAAAAGAAATGCGCATTGAGCCTATGGCACATCTTGGTCTTGAAATATGTATTTTAACTCCTTGTCCACTTACTACAAATGCTGTCTTTTTTCCAACAAAAAACACCTGCTCATTACTTGCATGCAATCTCATGCAATACTCACCTCTAGGGTAGTGGAGGTGTCAGCTGTGGAATTTCCAGTATTATTGCTTGAGATTGAAGACACTGTTTCATTTTTGCCTTCAGTATCTGATTTTTCATCAGAACTCATACATTCGACATCTGCATCAAAACCAGTTGGATACCCCATTGCTTGCAGAACCTACAATAAAACAACATGAAATGACATAAAATATAGGTAACAGAATGCAAGCAAATATGGGGCTGATCATAACAAGACTGCCCCATCTTACACTTAAAGGCAACTTACATAAAATTTCACTTTTTCCACTGTKGAGAGTGGAAAAAGTGAAATTTTTCAATGGGGAAAAAATAGTCTGTATTTTCCAAAATCTGAATTAACATAGAAATTTTCAGGGCCTCTAATTTTTAAAAAGGTAGACCCAGAAACTGTAACAATCATATTAATCCCTCTCGAAGCATGAAAAAGCAGAGCCCAGACCTACCAGAAGATAAAACTATCAAGTTTCTACCACACTGCTGTCCTTGGCTTCAGTCACGGATGTTTTGAAGTATAGCCCAGCATTTACATATATGTGCAGATTTAGAGAAACAGACCTGCGCAGGTCTGGTAGATCCAGGGAGGTTTAATTCACAAATTTTCAGAGGAAGCTATGAATTATTTTTTAAATAATTCCTTGGGGTAGATGGACAAGGGAGAGGCAAAATAAAAAGTATGAGGAAGATTGGAAGTATACACACGCAGAAATCTACTTTCCTGAGAAACAAAACATTCCTTCAAATATTTTTGGATACATGGAACTTAAAAGCATATGAGCCAATGAGATTTTCAAAGCTGAAAACAAAAGCCCCTTTTTTAGTTCAAACATGAAGCTACCTACCTTCACGGCCACATGGAGCTTGGCTGTTTTCTTAGAAGGTCCTGATGCTTCATACGTCGTACCATCGACATCTACGGACATTGTGAAGACTGGGGCGTGCACTGGACCAGACTGTGACAGCAGCTTATACTGCAGCCCTGGTCTGATTTGGTTGAGCCTCATCAGAGCATTCATGAGGTCTATTGCTTTGCTGTCAAGTACTAAGACAAGACAGGGTGGGGAGGGAGAGGAGAAATGAACAAAATGAGATGGACAGAAAACCAAACCAGTTTGTGGTAAGGTGTCTTCTGCTCATATAAGAGTAAAACAACCCTCTAAGAGAATAAGGATAGTGACAGCATTTGAATATGGTTTTAATAAGCCTTTTAATAAGCCTTTTATAACAATACTCATCTTTTGATATTGTTAACACAAATCTTTGGCAATTAGTTATATTCTTCCTGGCTCATATAAAAGAAATAACAAGTTTTATGGATCATGAGGAACTATATACAGAATCAGCACCAAAGTAGACAGTGAAAATCACCAAGAGAATTAACTGGATCCCGGCAATACTGAGAAACTGCTATTCTGTGCATGGATTAAATATCAATGTTCTGTGGATTGAACATTTTCTTTGTGGGACATCGTAAGCTAACAGTGACTGTTGTAGGGAGGACAAGGGTACAAAAAGAAGTATCTTCATTCAGCAAACTCATTTCAGTATTTTGACTACAACCTAAATTTTACTGTGGTTGCTGGGTAATATGTAAATCATTCAGTTAGRAAAGCATGTCAGACGAAATTCAAATGCATGATAAGAGATACACTTGATGCAAGAATACAGGATGAGAGAGAGACAACATTTTTTTTTTATTTCCCAGGCTTTTCCACATGCTGCTCCACACCAATATAGAAGCTTTCAAAGCAGCTCCCACCATACAATTGATCTTTGAAAAAAAGAACGGAGAAATGTTGCACTTACTTTTCCTTAAATTACGCTTCATCTTTTTATTTGGATCTTTATCATCCCCAACACCATCTTCAAATGGTCTCTTGAGTGCAGACGAGCCCGTACCTAGGATATAAATTTCCTTGTAATATGGATACACCATTAGAAAATTAAAATTCGATAGCATGACTCTGATTAATCCTATTACTGTTCATTGCTTATCTGTAATTATGAAAGTACTTCAGCACCAATCACCTATATTTAAGCATTTAACTGTTATATCTAATAGATATAACAGATGCTGGTAGGTCCCTGATAGAAGCTAGTGAACAAAATATTCCTATATCTTCTCATCCAAGAAGGGAAAGACATCAGAAAGGTAGAAAAGCATGTCTTGTCATGCTTTAGAAAAAGATATTTTTGAATTTAGGTTGCCTTATGCCAATAGAAAAATTTCTGTTTTGTCTGATTTAACTTGGTCTAGAACATCTCTGATACCTAGGCCACCAAAGAGATGAGACAGACTGAGCTGGAAAGAAGATACTCCAGCATAATGCTGGGGCAAGTGTTTTGACATTAAAATCCATCCTTAATCTGTCATTTTTGAAGAAAATGAAAGAAAAAAAAATCTGCCCTTCATATAAAGTTACTTCATGAAAAGGAAGATAACAACACAATAGCTTAAAGCATTAAATGTTTAGTACACTACTAATAAATTAAACATTTGTTCCAGGTCTGCAAATACCATTCAAAATGAAATTCTTGAATCTTACTTGCTCTGGAACTGTTTACTTTAAGTCTACAGCTCAGATTATGTGATTTATAGTTTTTCACAATTACCCTAAAGTCAGAAGCATAATAGTATTACTCATTCACAAAATAACCACAGAAAGTTATTTCTGTTAGAGTTACATTGTTTTCTAAGAGGAACTCCTTAGATTAGATCTTACGATAGACATTCATCTAATTATGTGCTTTTTGACCAGCCTCGTGTCTCTTCTTCCCAACTTGAGAATCTTAAATACTGTTTTTATTCTTCAGGCCCTGAAAGACTTTGCACTTAAAGAAAATCATTTACTATACTCTAGCAGTTAATTTTTTCTTTTAGCTACTCTCATCTTCTCTAGAACAGATCTTTTAGATTCTCCCAACAATAATTACTAAAACCAATAACAAATATAAAGAAAAGCCTTCTTACACACGCCCAACWTGTAACTGAAAGGAACTTCACCAATTCCAAATTAAATCCTAGTTTACTTCCCAGTTAATGTTTCTCAGAGCAAACAATAATACCTACCTTCTTTATCAGTTAAAGACCAAGAGTATTTCTGAAATGACTTATTTGATGGGAGGGGATCCATTTCCAAAACCTTATAGATCTGACCAAAGGCTGATAATCTGAGTGCATGCTATAAAGTGATAGTAAAAATGAGAGTTACATCACAGCACTCTTATCTCATGTGTCTTAAGTTTCTAAATAAGCTCGTAAATACAAAACCAGCATTTCTTCTATGAGGAATGATAGCTATAGAAAGTGTCATTTCCAAAAAAAAATAAATCATTAATTCCTGTGATACAAAGTGTCCACGACTGTCAGGTCCCACTGGCAGGAAGCCTAATCAAGGCCCAGGTGCCATAAGTGCTTGAAGAAGGGATGCAAGTGATGTGCAGACATTAGGATGCCTTCAGCAAGAACTACATTTCATCCATATTTAACTCTTGTGCACAAAAAGTTATCATTTAATCTCTCCAAGCAAGGACACTGGATGAACTGTCATGACTGCCATTAAAATAAGCCATTCAGGGCATAAAATAAACTGAATTCTTGCCCGAAGTAGAGGTTTTCTACCTGAGCACTGTGTGTAATGGCTTCTTTTTGCTGAACTGTCATATAACACAAAGCATCTGTTGGCTCTCGCTCACAGGGATCATGCAGACCAGGGCCTCCTGCGAGATAAAAAAGGCAAAAGAGATTGCTCAGAATCAACACAGTATGACTGAGGATTGCGATACTGCAACAACTCATCTCCCCCTTCAGAGTGCGGACAGCACCTCTTTCATTAAGATTCAAATGTACAAAACCAATTGCCCCTAGGGTTTTGGCCCTTAGAAGTGAGCCCATGAACACATCAACACTGCATGTGCATAACAGCATAAGCTAAAAGCAGGTTTAAAAAAAAAAAAAAAAAACCCCACCCACTATAGAAGCTAGCTAGTTGTGAGGTACTTTTATTTCTTTCTTTGTAGCTTTCTAGCTAGATTAAGTTAATTCATGAACAAACTTAGCATTCCCAAAGCAGTAGAAATTAATGGGAAGTACAGCATTTCAAACAATTATAACCACACAAGTCCCTTTCAACCCGAATCCATTCAACTTGCTTGCTGCAGGTTGCAGTGCTTACAGCGGGCATTTCTTGTCCCGTCACCCATCAGCAAAACGTTAAAACAAATGGAACTGGGCTGCCTGATCAATTGTTGGAAATGCCGAAGTTTATACAGTCCCTTACCAGGAAGCAGAATTCCAGATGCCAAACACTCCATCACTCGTCGTAATGCTTCCCCAGCGCCCAAAGGTCTATTACAAGTACCTATAGATTTTTCACATATAAGCTCGAGTGGCTAGAAGACATTAAAGTAGGATTAGTATGGATACAAGGGTAACTAAAGCTGCAGTTAAATACAGAAGGATACAGGGAATGATATTCACAACAGCTTATTTAGTTTTAATTCACTACAGGTCAGATAGTCAGCCCAGAGGACAGTTCAGGGCACTAAGACTTGCTCCCTGCTCTGTCACCTTTGGGGAAATTCAGCTGTTCTCCAGTAACTATACAGGCAGTCTACATGGAGAAGCCTTCTGAAGCCAGGTTATGTGAATACTCTCCTCCTACCAAAGGGAGGTCAGCTCTACTTGAGGGAAAGTGCTGCCTTCGTTGATTTCTGAAAYGGTCCTCATATTCTGAGCACTTGGCCTTCCCCAGGTCTGCTAAAACACAGCACTGTGCTCTGGTAGACCAGCATAGCCACGGTAGTAGGATAATTTCTAAAATCCCAATTCAGAAGCAACAAGTGGGATTGTACTAGAAAACTGTAAGGATTCACAAGGYCCCACAGCCTGTGTCTCTTCCCATGGTACCTATACATCTCATGGACTGACTGAACGTGCCCAGTCTCTTTCCTTCCTGCAAGCAGTTCTCTGACCATGTAAGAGCTAGTGGGGAGGAGAAGGAAAGGGGGAGTTGGAGAGCAGGGTCTCAAGTGCTCTGCTCGCCCTACTCCCGGCACTGCTGCAGCCTGCAGGTGATCTGGGATGTCCGACCCAGCTGCCTCCAACTCTTGCTGTACTTACCCATCCTTTGAGTGGTGCCCATGTGGGGACTCTGTTGCACAAATCCCGGAGAATACGAAGGACAATTACACATGATTTTAGTCCATTTGCCCTGGCCTAAAACAAACAAAATGGTTCCAGTACACCTGCAAAAGCCTAGCCTTCAATTTTAAATGCAGAGTCCATGGATAGATTGTTTTCTTTTAGGAACTACTTAGTACTTAATTGCTTCATGCAAAATAAGGACAGTTATATAAAGTAAGATACTTCATTTTATAGAAGGACATATAGAGAAGGAAGCCAAATGTCAAGTTTATGCATGTAGCCTCATGACAACTCTAGACCAGTTGGCTCTCTACCTATCAAGCTTTTCCTGGTACAGTATTAACACTGAATGTGGAATTCTAGACCTCTGYTCTATTAGGGACTAAATCAGAAGTTAAAGAGGCATTAAAATTAAAAGTGTCTCAAATTAAACCTCATAAGGCTACAGTAACAACAAGGTAAGAACAAATAGCCAACCTGAAACCATTTGGCGTGCCGCAGAGACGCCAAGGCCTCCAGGCATTTCTGCCTGTCCAATAAGTCCGGAGGATCTTTCATCGCAACATTATCTACTGGTAAAAATGGGATAAAGAGAGACAGATACAATTTGACCAAGGGGTTTCTGTCACAATACATAAAGAGTGGCAGCATCTCAATGAGATAATAAGACTCCCAGAATTTAAGTGCACAGTGTTATTTAATTTAAACAAGCCATTAAAGGTAGTAAATGTGCACATGTGCAACAGAAGCAAAGTCATTCAATCCATGTAAAATAATAGTAACAATAAAAAAGATGGCCACTGCTACAGACAATCTGGGATCTTATTAAAAATGCAGAACACATTTCAGGGCAGAAAGTAGTTATATAGCACTTTTTTCTCTCCTTTTCCTTCTTTGTGACTTTATTCCAAGTGCATAAAAATGGCACAGAAATTCAAAATGTTTCAAAAAAGGGAAGATGTTATTGAGGAGGGGAAAAAATAAATAGAAGTTATTTTGTCACAATTGCTGATAATTCAATAGAAAATCTTTGAATGTATGTGAAATAATTATTCTTGAACAGTATTAACCAATATACCACATCAAAGTAAAATATAAAAAGTGCCAATAAGCAGTTTTTCAATTTGATTAACCTTTTATAGAACCAGAACATCCGAAAGAAGAAAATAAGCTTGGGATCTTCCAGATCATTACCATACTTGTGATGTAGATCCCTCTTGTAAAAATCTGCTCTTCCCAACAAAAATCGGTTAAAAATTCAAAGAAGGATTTGAGAGACAAGACACAGATGTCTTCTGTTGAGGTTTACACTTTTTTCCCTCCCTTTTTTTTAAAAAAAAAAAAACAAAAAAACACTTTGTTTTGTTTTTTATCCAGCATGCAACAAACTGCTTTTAACAACCACACCTGCTTCTACATTGAGGATATTACACAACAGTCCTCTCTTCCATGACCTTTTTTCTTACTGGGGCGACTGGGAGAAGGAAGAGAATCAGGACAAGTGATTAGCATCTCTGGAAACTACAGACATGACAGATTTTTCCAATCTGCAGGATCAGATTTACAGTATTTTAGGTTTGAGCCRGCATAAATATAGAGGAATTAAATGAATCAGTGGTTGAACTAAAAGCTTGAGAAAGTTATTCTCTTTATTTCAAAATAAATAATTTGGAAAAAATAGTCATTTCATTGTTCATAATGGGCAGTTCTAGAGACATCTATAAAGATCTGACTGCAATATAATAACCAGTCAAAACTGGAAATTATGCCAGATAAGCAAAATCCACCACCTAGCAAGACACTCAAAATATGCCGGACAAGTAGGGAGAAAAAAAAAAAAAGTGTGATCATTTTGTATAAATATACAATTTATTAGTAACATCACAAAGTATGTTTTCATAGATCACTTTGGATAGTATTGGTTGTAAATATAACTGCATCTTTAATAATAAAGTTGCTTCACCCCCTATGCTGTTTGATAGGAAGGTTATTCTGGTAAAAGCACGTTATGTTACAGTGGATAAAAGAGCTCAGACAAAAAAAAAAAAAAAAAAAAAAAAAGAACAGTGTAAAATTGAACAGAAAAGGGCATCTTGCCTGTCAGTTCATAGCTGCAGTTTGCGCCTGCTGGTTCTGCTGTCAGCAGAGGACTTCAGTGCTATAAGCTTATTTTCTGACCCTGATGAGCTTCACAGCAGATATTTGCATTGTTTCTTACTGCCCTTATAACAGTATTACAACACTGAAATTAATCTCATCTCTTCCYTGTTCTCCAGATAAAAGCTTCAAAATCTTAAGATACTGGATCTCTATTAGCACAAAAGTTCATTTTGGAACAGAAGATTGTTCTTAAGTTTTCTTTGCAATTTCTTTGTAATTTCATTATTTTCAGGATTAATATTGTGTGGAACATAAGTTTTAAATGTATATCTAAGAAGTTCCGCTAGAAAACTTTTATTGTGGACAATATAAACATCTGCTTAAAGCCCATGTGTTATATAAAATAACTACTGTCAATGAATGATCCGAATCTTATTTTAAAACGTTAGAAATGGCCAAGGTGACTGATTGCAAAACCATTCATTTCTAGCAATGAATCTGAATTGTCAAATCTTTAAGGACTTTATTGAGTATTATGTAAGACTTGGCTAAAGTATGTTGCAGCTGTCTAGCCTTTAAGTTACTAAATCCAACCAAATATGCATCAGCTGTTGTGCAGGTGAATGAGAAGGCTTTTCTGCTCCCATTAGATTTATTTTTTCAATTTTCAAAAGGGTAAAATCCTACTTTTGCAGTAGGATTAAGGCTATTTCCAAAGGTTTAAATTATGGATCTCTTGGAGATTTCTGTCAATTGCAAACTCAGTACAAGCGTCCTGAGCAGCCTTGGTAGATATTGCAGTCAGCCAACTTCTGGGTGCAAGATTCTATTAAAGATGAAGAGAATAGGCAGTGAGGAGGGCGAGCAGCTTGCAGCAGACTCCCTTTCGACATCTCCAGTAGAATGGCATGTTTCTTCATGCTCTGCCAGTCAGGAAAGTGAGACTCAATCAAAATTTTCAAATGATTGCAAAGCTTTCTTTCTTTTTCTTTTTTTCTTCTTTTTTCTTTTTTGAAAGGGCAATGATATATCAAGGACTTTTATTTAATTCAGAGGTAAAAAGAAAGCCCTGACAGTACTTCAGACTGCAATATAGAACAAATCCTCAAGTAATTCCCTCCCCCTTGCTGTATTTATTCTCTCCATAGAGCGGCCGCCAGCTCCATGCGTAGGGAGCAGGGCACAGGAGGAGGGTCTCTCGGCAGAGACACGGTAAGAGACACGGCAGCGGCGCCAGAGGCGCCTGGCACCTCTGCGGCAGCGTGGCCGCCTCTGCCCAGCGAGGGCTGCTTGGGCAGTGGTTGCCCAGTTAGAATGTGGTTAATTTCAGCACTACTTTTATAATTCAACTTGCTTATTATTACATCTTCTTGCTGTTACTGTACTCAGTAACAACTGATTTGCAAGCTTGTGGTCTGCAAAGTCCAATTTATACTGGATGTTACGAGTAAAAATGTTTCCTAAATTTAAATTTTTAGCTGATACAGAATGCAGATATTTTAGATGTTTCACCTCTCAACTCCACATGAAACAGCAGAGCTTTTTGKGTAGCCATTTGTGAGAAACAGCGAAATGCACACACACACTCACACACCCACACACTGGCCCACTATTTATTTTTGCTAATAGGTAGCAAAAACAAATAGGACAAACACGACATTTTAAACATAAGCACTTTTCCAAAAAGGTGAGGACTGAAGAGAAATCCAGGAATGTTTTTCAGTACATTCTGACATCAGGGCATGAAGGTACACACAGCATTCCTACAGAACAGATGGAGCACTGGTAACCAAGCCCTGACCTGGCTGCTTGGGTTAGAGGGCAGATTAGTGCCTACCCCCCCGGAAACCTTGGTCAGTTTCGGGCAGTGCGGCTGGGGCCGTGCCAGCCCCTGCCCCGGCCCATCTTACRAGTAAGATGAAAGCGAGCTGAAAAGCATCTCAAATTCCTCGATTCAAAAGAATGTATAAAAGAACTGAAAATAGTTTTTAAAACTGCACAGAAAATGCACTTTTCTGGGGGGAGGTGGGGAGTATAAAAAGAATGGCAGTACTTTCTGTGGAGATCGAGGGATTGCTGAACACCTTCTCTGATTATTTTCCATTGATAATAGATATATAGATAGATATCTTATAATCTTTAAGACAAAGTGACTTACAAAATAGTGGAAAAGATTACACAAAACAGTAATTTCACCCTAAAAATAAAAATTTAATTATTTAGTGGCATATATATAGTACTTCACATACCTTTGAAAAGGCACATGATAAATTTTGTTGTTCACTTATAATCAAAGGCATTTAAACTCTATGCAAAAACTCTAGGCTTTTAAAACAAGTTCCATTACCCTATCAACTCTCCTCTGCAGCTTCCCACAAGAGAAGGCCTAACAGCTGTCTTGAGAGCACTAGTAAAGGCATTTAAGAAAAAAAAAGTGCAAAATTTGCAGAATTTAAAGGTAATGAAAACTATGAACTGAACATCCATTTTAAATGTAGGGAAGCATAAAAATCAAAATCTTATTCAGTTTGTATGAAGAACTCATGGAGTCCAAAGCTTTTATGGCTACTGCCAATATTTTTTTTTTCCTAGTTTTTCTTTTAATTACAAGAAAATACTTGGAGCCTTTACACAAAAATTCATCCCCATATGGAATTTTTCCCAGATACTTTTTCCATAAAATTTCTCTGCACTTGGTGCTCTCTCACAAACACATATCAGCTGCAATAAAAACAGGCGTGATCTCAGYATCTTATGGAAAGCCTAAGAGCAACTGAAGTAACATGCAATTTGTTTTCAATGCTCTTGCAAAAGAGYGCAATTACTAATTTGAGAATATGCAGATATTGCAGATAGAGTATCTATGCCATTCATTGTTCTGTAAGAATTTTCTGCTTCCAACTGCTGCCAAAGTGTTACATTTCTTTTGAAATCAGATACTTTCTGCCCTTGCCTCAAACCGAAATGAGAGAAACTGACCAACATTTCTGCTGTATAGGGGTTTCAGGGAGAGGGGAGTAAGCAAAGGACTGTGGCAAGTCTAGAAATGGGAAAGAGCAACAGGGAGTTCCCTAGCCCAGGCGGGCCCAGCTGCCTCAGTTGTCATGACAGAGATTGGCCAGTTGGTCAAAGGTCTGACATCATCCAGTGGCAAAGTGTCCAGGGAGAGGTTTGGGAAGCAGAAGCAGAAATTACTGACAAAATTTTTAAAATAAAAGAAAATATGGCTACATTTGCTCTTCTCAATTTTCTCCTTGTTTCCAGCCTCATTGCTAATAAGAATCAACATTTCTTTAAGAGGGCCATGTTGCTATATTGGATGTCATCACAGTTAGGGAGAAAAAATAGAAAGAAACTAAGTTATAATTTTCTAAATCTATTTTGTACTAAGGATATAAAGTAAAATGTTTAATTCAGAAGCAGAAGTTGTGTTACAGCACTGTAACTTCAATTCTATCCTGGTCAGGAGATTCTTAAAACTAGAAACATACCAATATATGTATCAATATATAATGTATCAATAACTAATAAAAACTTGAGGGCCAGAAGGACACACTTGCAAGCTTTGCAGGAGAGTTATTTTGTGTAAAAAGAGAAACAATTTTAGGAGCTTGTCAAGATACTACAAACCAATCCCACTTGACTGACTCAATTTGATAGCAAGACTGTGCAGCGCTAGGGTGCTCAAGGATTAACTAGCAAGTCTGAAAAAGCAGAATTCAGATCTAATTGTACGTCAAAGTTAACGCTAACAGTACTGCTTGCAAATGAAAATTAAGCATATTTACTTGAAGATTAAACGACTGTTGTCCATTTAAGGCATAGTGTAACATATTGTGGCAACAGCCAATCTACTTAGCACATGTTACACAATTAAAAACCTGCTTCCTAACTAACCCTGTGCTGCACAGTCAGAGCATTTGGATAGAACAGTCTTAAGAAGTYAAAACTACGTGTACCTCCTTCCTTCTTCTCAGCTTCATCTCGAATGAGAGGAGATGTAAGTATCACCTTCAGTGTTAGCTTGGGCTCCTTTGTGTTACGGATAATAATAGCTGCCTCATTTACATGTTCCTCCACAAGATACTTCTCTTCTGTAAGTTTCTGAAAGTCACCAAGAAAGATTTCAAGAATCTCCCAATCAACTGTGAAACTGCAGAATCTCTTTAAAGACAACAGTTCTTGCACTAAGGGGAGGCCTACAAGCCTTGGCAATAACAAATATAGCCTTGTCCTTTTCCACTTCTTTCCTTCAGACAGTCTCCMCGTAGGATCCTACCTACTGTCCATTGAATTTGCTGCAATCTTAAAGTCTTTTAATTAGGTCCATTCTACYGTTTTCACTCATTTCTTTGAAGCATACATTATCTTTTCTTATCACTTCCAACCCTTTTCATCTCATATGTCACTACAAGCAAGTCAATTTTTTCTTTACTACTTGATACATCAGCATCACTTTCAGCTACGGACAGCACCTGCAGATGGGGCCCGTTATCTCACTCAAAGCCCTTTATGCAAATGAATGAATAGTGAGAACAAACAGCTGTCAGAAATGGCAAAACATATACCGTCCATGGGGAAATAAACACCRAGGCAGAAAAAAAAATATATATGGAGTGAAGCAGATCAAATTGTATCACTTAGTTTGGAGAGAGTATTTTGGGGGTATATTTTCTAGGCAATAATGTGTCAGTAGTCCAGAATCCGGACTGTTAACTCAGGCTCAGAATTGTCAAAAAGTTATTATTCATAGCTGCTTTAAAGATATGAATATTTGTTGTATGTAGCTACCTARCAGATACTACCATTAGAACCAAATACCCACAGATAAAAAGAATGATGAGGTCATGATTATCATGACCTAAAATGTGCCCACCTAGACTAGCTGATCTTACTTCAGATCAAGGCAGATCTTAGGCTTCTGGAAAAGCCTAAGTCAAACTGGAGGAAAATAAACAAAAAGAAATATAGATTAAAAACGTGTTCATACTTGAGCAGGAATGATTCCTAGAATTGTAAATTTAACCCATATTAGAGGTGTGACCAGAAACAAAAGTTATCTGGGTTAGTTACTAAGTGAAGCTTAGCTGCAGCACTGGAAAACATCACAAATGGCGACTGGGCACTCTTGGGAATAAGATGCTTAATTTTGTGAACAGCTACTTTGGCCATAATGCATCAAAAATTTCATACAGACTAGATGTCCTAGACTAAAAGTATAACCTTTAAACTATACCACCTGTATTTTTCCTGGAATTAATTAATTTTGGCCYTTACTCCAATACCTTGCAGTGCTATCAGCTATTGGTACAGGACTACCCTAAAGTAACTCACCTGAATTTGAACTGGGAGATTGTCTTTGACTATATATAACAAGGTCTTTGTGGGCTTTTCTTTGCACATGAGAACCAGTTCCAAATCCATATCATCTTTTATCAGCAAGCCCTTTGCAACCAAGCCAATTCTCATAACACCACATAACGTCCGACCACCTTGATCCCTGCAAATGAAACAATTCTGAATAATTAAACTGGTATTTTTGTGCATGGGAAATACTAGTATTATCCTGTCACAGTGAGGGGCCATAAACTGATGGGAGTGATTACACTGCTAAAGATGTGCATTGCTAATTAGAAATGAAAAGCATAGACTCCTGTCAGATGGATCTTGGAAAGTTTTAGCTATAAAATTTAAGATTTTACTGTTCTCAGCACTCCATTCTTTCTCACCCATCCTCTTGGCTGGAAGTTACCACATGCATCGGGGGGCTGAATGCACGTGCACAAACACACACACACACACGCACACACACACACACACACACACTCATTCCATGAGCTATCGCAATTCCCAGTGAAGCAGACCAGCCAGAACTGCTCATGCATGTGGTCCTTGCTAAGATGCCCAGCTGTGAATTGGGGGCAGGCAATGGAAACAAATGCACTTTTCATTGTCCTGCTACAACACAGTGGGAAACAAGCACATATTTGCCAAAGCAAAATCTACCTGTGAATATAGCTTTGAATTTTCCTGTTAATCTGTATCCAAGGTTTGCCCAAAAGTAATATAGCCAGCAATGTCTCATAGTTCATTTAATATTAGCTAAAGATGGATCCAAGACTTCTTGGATTCTCAAGACTGAGACTCTTGGTAGGTGCACTGTGGCAGCAGTTTCTTGCTTTAAGGGGAAGATGCGTTGGCAGCAGTGTCAGCACAGCTTCCAACATCACACTGCCGCCTGCATTAGCACTGCCAGCAGGTCTAATGGATAGGTGTGTTAGAAAGAACACAGTGGAACGCAAAAATTGTATGAATCGCATGTTAGTAATACTTATTAAAGTCAAGATCTGACAACCAGCACATGCTCAAAAGAGGCTGGTGAGAAAGGGCAAAGATCTGTGCACCAGCAAGCTCAGACACTAACGCTGAACACCCCGTATCAGGTCAGGGCCAGTTTCTCTAACACCCAGGACAGATCCAGCCTCCAGTGCCTCCCTTCTAGCCTACCCCTTTCAATAGAGAAGGAACATATACCTTCTCCATCCCTTTATGGGCAGCAAGCAACGCTTATTAGTTCGTCCATGCTGCAATCCTACTATATATCAACAAAAACATTTTAAACCCATGATGGTGGGGGAGGAGGGGAGAAGAGGCACAAACTCAAAAAACTGTCTTCTGACAAGAACAAGGAAACGGAAATCAGGTCTTTCAGTTACAACTTACCTGAATTGGAGAAGCTGATTATCCAGAAAGCACTGAGAAGTCAGAAGTACTCCAAGTTTTATACCAAGAAACCTAAATAAARGAGCTAGTTCTGGCTGCTCCCTAAACTACTGGGGTTGTGCTACAGCAACAAAATCTGCCACCTATCAGGAAGCAGATTAGGATATACTGCAACAACTGTTTTACTCGAGACAGAATTACATAATGCATGGTAATGGATCGCAGACAAGATAGATTGTTGCATAAACAAGTTTATGAATCTTTTTGTGCTTATTAAATTGAAAGAGCCCCTAAGCTACTCAACGGTGAATTTCAATATGTTATTGGGAAATACACTCACTTAAAGTTACTAAAAAGTTTGTCTGCTAAGTGCAACGTCCTAACAACATTAAATTAAATAATGAATSAGAGAATTTTTTTGCCCACACTGGGTTTATTACTATTCCCCTTATCCTATGTACATTTACTATTTAATGCACCTTATGTGCTCTCTTCTCAAGAGCTCCAGACGTATCCACTTCTTCCCAAGCATATGCATGTGCAAGCGAATCAAAGAACACTATAATTCTTAGGTAAAGGAAAGGACAGTTCAGGGCAGTACAGAAGCACATCGTGAGRCTCAAGTCACTCACTTGGCATTGCTTTCTGCAGCTTCCTCCTTCACTTCCACATCAGCCTCATTTTTTGTAGACTTGTTCTTTTCATCCATCCAGTCAGAGACATGCTTAAGAGCACATTCTACTGTTGATACCATGTTCTGAACAGCTTCAAGTTCCTCTGGAGATGGATAAATGGTTGAATGTTTCACCATGACATGGCGGTCATCATTAGCAAAAGATCGGATAGATCTCTGTTATGAAAGAGGAAACAGTGGGAAAGGGGAAAAAAAAAACAACCAAAACCCAAAGTTATTGGATTGGACCAACTGAAGAACTTTGTTTGAATAGAAATCCTCCCCGACAGACACAGGAAAGTGCTTTACGACAACCACTGCTTAAAATCATAGATTTTTTTTTTTAACCTTGTGTTAAAAACAAGCAAAAAGGTGTGGCACAGAACCAGCATTAAACTGATAGAATTTGGCATCTAACAGGAGGTACTATAAATCCTACTCAGCTCACACTTAAAATTCCTCCACTGGCTGGTAATAGGAACAGGCACACCTGGAGCACAGCTCCTGTTGATGTCTCCTTTAGGATGAAATGAACTGTGCCTACACCTGCACGTGACTGCAGAAGTCTAGACAACTAGAGCAGATTAGCTGCTACAGACTTCTGAAGATTAAGCAAGCTGAATTCCGTTCTTTGTCTGGCGTGTCCACTGGAGGTGCRGGTTGTGACACTGTACACACTAGCCACAAATCAGTGGAAAACTTTTAGTCTTTAGATAAACTTCTCTATGCCCTTATATAGTTACAGCAAATACAAAATAGCATTCTGGATAGTGACCAGTTTGCAAAGACTAGAAAGGCATTTCTGCATCTTGTCTTTCAGTACTCCCTCACTGCCTTCTTCTTTACTTCCCTCCTGTCATAATTTTTCTTTTGTTTTACCGCCTTGTTGCTTTCCATTCCTTTTCCCCATTCTTTTTTCATTACTTTACCCTTGTTTATTTTTTAAAAAATACTTAAGGGGAGCAGTAGCTGGCTAAGTGTAAGGATAGAGCGCTGAAAAAGGGGACCAAAACACTGAGTTTCATTCCAAACTTTGCCACTAGACTGTGGATAACTCCTTCCACTTTCTTGTGCCTTCGTGACTTCCTTCATCCTTTAACAAGCTTGTTTATTTACTCTAGGTTCTCAAAGCCAGTGAGAAAACATCTAGGCCCTGATATTGCCTTAAGTACCTAAATACCATGGAGATACAAGTAGTGATTACTGAAAGGACAGGGGCTTCCCTAGCCTGGTATACCTGAAGAAATTAAGGAGATCAGGAATTGCAGTATTTTTTGTTGACTTGTCTCAACCTTCTGACAGTTGGATAGCTCAGAGGATCAGTTGTAAAGACAAAATCCAGGGCCCTTATTCCAGAAGGTAACCTCATTTCAAGGTAGAGAAATTTAGAACAGAAGTATCCTAGGGTGAAAACAGACTGGGGAAAGCAGGTGGAAAGGAGGGCAGACAAGGAGAAAGGGGAGGAGATTCCCATTTTGAAAATGGGAGTGACATAAGTGCATATTGTCTATTCTGGAAATGTTAAGAGCAGATGTCTCTCCTTGGTTTATGCTAGAGACAATGGCAACCCATTTTAGAATAAGACAAATAAATAGCCATTTCCTTATGGTTTGGGTGCTGCTGCAGATGAAGTCAGAGGCAATACATATTACCAGAAGAATACCAGCAAACTGTACAGGGATTTGCAAAAAGCATGAATGAAAATGAAGATAAATTGGTGGTAAAGAAAGACTGAGATAATTTTGTGGAAAATGAAAGAGTTGGAAGGGATTAGTAAAAGACAGTTTGTAGTGAGACTCAAACGTCTGAGCAATATGGCTGAGCGAGATAAACCTGACTGGTTAGGTGACTTGTGCTCGAAGCTTGTGATTTGCTACCCTGTTCAGATGAGACCTATCTAATCTAAGGAGTGACTTGGACCAGCTGCTCTTCCAGGACACACCTCTGTCAGGAAGATCTCTAAATATTTTTCTCTGGACACATGTGGACAACTGCTGACAGTCTACTGAAATTTGGAATCATCAAGCAAATCTCTGTTCCTCCTGAATGTTAAACAGCATAAGCAGCTTTCATTTTTCCTGTTCCACAGGCTTGTACACAGTCTCAGAGACAAGAAGGACTTCTAACTTGATTCCTTGCTAAAGAATAGCAATAACATTTAGAGSATATTCTATATGTTTAAACTGCTCTCCACTGCTATTTTCAGAAATTGGACAAGTTTATTTCCCTTCTGTGAACATATCTTCAGTATCGTGCCATTGTAGCTCTTCACATAAATTCAGGTCTCAAATATTCCCAATTTGTGATCAATACTAGGTAGATAAAACTGCCTTAATCAAATATACTTGGTGTATATAGTTTACATGCACATTTATCTCTGTTTAACAAAGGGTGCACAGAACCACATCCAATCAGCTTTTCACACAGACATACACAAATCTGAGTAACCAACATCTACTTTTGTGAGAAGTGTGTGAAGAGGAATATCAGCATTCGGTTATGCTATCTACAGTTCAAGGTCACCCATGCTATTTGCTACAGCGTRTTAATGCCAGTTTTATTAGAAAACTTTATAAGCATCCCCTTCATTCATATTTAATAATTCATGTAATGCAGACTCATSAGACTCAAGTCTCTGGTTTAAAAAGACTGACAGTATATCAAACCTCACTTGCTTTGCTCAGAGCATGCAGCACCATCTCTAATTCACTGCAAGGTCAGAAAATCCCTTTACTATTGTTTTACCGTGCCCCATGCAAGCCTGGCAGCAGTGAATCTTTTTAATGATTCCCTATGAAAGTAGACAGATACCTACCATGGTTTGTTAGTGTTTCAGGTCTCTCTCCCTCCCTTTCTCCTTTTCTCTCCTCCTTGGTGTCTTTGCTAGGCACTGCTTTGCCTGACAGAACCTCTTCATAAGCCTCTCAGTCCCTTGACGGCTCAGGAGTTCATACAGCCAAAGATGCTCTGGGAGTGACTTTCTGTAATTCACCTTTTTTTTAAAAAACAAAAAACAAAAAACAAAAAACAAACAAACAAAAAAAAAAAGGTTCAATGCAGCACATTTAGCCAATACACCAAATCAAGCCCTCAGGCTTCAAGATGCAGAGGAACTCACTGCACCACTTACTCCTGAACAAAAACCAGATGTCACTACAGAAAGCAACTTTTTTTTTTTTCAGTATGCCCACATGTACGTAACTACTTTCTCTATGCCCACATGTACGTAACTACTTTCTCATACCACTTGTCTCAGCATGATTTGTCAGCCAATTGACAACCCGAACCTCTGACACCAAATGACTAGAAATCCAAAGCATTAAATATGCTTCACATGCAACTAGCTGGGGAAGTCATCTCTATTTTTAACTGACAGTGCTCATTAGGAATCAAATACACTATACTTAATTATCAGCTGGAATCCCCAGGGCAAACCTGCATCCTGAATGTGTCAAATACTGCACAATAAGAACCAAGACTTCACGTGGCAACAACTATAAGCTGATATTTAAAAATACAGAGAAGCCTTCTTGCATTAAACTAGGAAACAAAGTGCAGCAGAAAGAAGTGCAAATAAATGCTCAGGGAGGCAACAGAAGAGCAGAAAGATGGAAGGGGTAACCTGAGAGCAAGAAGAAACTCACCGCACACCACAACACCCAAGCCCTTGCAGAAAACTCTGCCTGAAACTCCTCCTGAGAAATGTTTTTCTTTCAACGCACACACTGCTGTATCAGCTTTTCAGTGACATTTTGCAGCAGTTGGAAACCCAGTCAGTGAATTTCTGCAGACTAACACATACACTTAAATGTTTTGCTTTCCTCCAACATGTCAGTCCTGCTTCCCCAACAATACATTGTGAATTGTCTATCAAAGAATCCTGACATTGTTAGAGATTAAAAGCATGTTCAGCAACAGCACAGATAGGAGAGGTGACTTGAAAGCTGAGCAGGCACTTTAACCTCAGGGGTGCGATGGAATAATTAAAATGCTGCATCCCAGAGAGATTTGAACATGAGATTTTTATAATACTGTGGTGCTTTTGAGTCAGCGGATGGCAAGCTAGAGAGACTACACATGCTTTCAGACCATCTATCTATTTTGAATCAGCTGTCTCTTCAAACTGTATCCCAGATCTCTCCATATACTTGTTCTTCCTGCGACTCCTACATTTCACATTTTCAGTCTGCTATCTTCTCTCATAATTGTAACTTGGCAGTTGCATCCCAGGCACAGAGCAGGATGCCGGAACGGGTTGCTGAGCTCAGCAAACGGCCCTTGCTTTTAAGTGAGGCTGCAAGCTTCCATGAGAAGCAGAGCTGCACAAAGGTAGTTAATAGACCGATTCTACCTGCACTTTTCCCTGTGGTCAATGACTGAGGTCTGGTCATATGCAACGGGACTGTGAAGGGACTTTCATTATAATAAAAATGTTAACTGAARTAACTCAGAAAGAAAACAAAATCCTGAGAGTTCAAGCTGGCATAATTCCTTTCAAATTACTACCATACTAAGAATATATCACAAAAATACGTATAGGAATGAAAACCTAATATAGGTCAGATTTTGAGAGAAAATAAAAAAAAACACACTAGACAGAAGGGAGTTTGTCACAAAAAATGTAAATACAATACAGAGGACAAAGTATATTTGACAACACGAAGAATTTAATCAAGAAAAACTAAAATTCAGATCTGCTGCAGCCATATGGACTAAGGCAGCAGAACACAGCACCAAACACATCAAGATGCATTATGTGAAGTGAGCAGCAGTCCTGTAAATCCAGCAGCCTCTTTTGCTACTGAGTTATAAGTGGGATACTTGCCCCTACGTCCTTGCTGAAAAACAACCCATTGCCTGGCTAAGAAACACAGCAGTAAAATGCATGGTTGTCTTATGCAGGGCCTGCCACTTGCACCCACATCAAAATTTTGAAGAAAAGCTACCAGCACTAACAAGTCCATTGGTCATGTTGAGAAAGTCACTTTACCTCTGTGCCACATGTAAACTGTAAATACTGTCTCCAAAGCAGATCGCAGAGGAGCTGAGGAGATTCTGGAAAGTAATTTTAATTTACTGGGAACTTGACACATTAGATGTGTTATTAAAACACTGTGACAGTCTAACAATGTTTCCATTAAACATCTCATCCTTCACAGAGGAAGTTTATGCTTTGGCAAAAGACAAACAAGGAAAAGAATTTCAGATCAGGTCTTTGTAGTAGGGTTTATTCCTGCATCTGTCAGATGTATTCCCAAGAGACAGATATTTAAATAGCCAGAAGTAATGAATATGCTTAGCTAGCTTTGCGTCCTTGTGAACAGAAAAGTGAAAAGCAGGAGAAACAAGAACTAACACTCTCTATGTACTGTAACAGCCAAAAAAAGGAGCTATATAGATTTATAGAACGGAGACACAAACTACCCGATACCCCTGGGCCCTAATGCCATCCAGCAGGAAGCCATACCTTGCACACACACAGCTGGTACAACAGCAAGAGAAGCAGGGTCACAGGTCACTGTGTCTAGCCCTCTAAATCCTCACTTAATGAACTGCAGTTTAGGCACCAGGCCAGACCAAATAAAAGACCATGAAAATTGTTTTGAAYGCTGCATCAGGAAGGCACATGCCAGCAGTATTAGCTGAAACGTTAAAAACAACCTCCACCCATCTAATCTGCCCATGAGAACTACAGTTTCTAGCATACACWACCCTAAGATTACCCAAAGTTACGTTAACAGAGCAGGAAGAGCAAGAGGGACAACTAAGGTTGCTAGTAGCATTAAAGAGCAAATAGCAGACCAAGGTGCACCAGACATAGCAGCAGAAAAGAACTGCAGTTTATACAGACTGGATGAGAAAGTTTTGGATTTATATTTTTTTTTATATCTGTTTTTTAAAAATATTGTCAAGTCAAAATAAGAAGCTTACAACTTTAAATTGCAAGTTTATTTTAACTACTGCTTTGCATTCAGGCAACAGGTAATTTTAKGTCACACCATATAAAATGCTGCTGAAAATATGTTGTTTTTCTGCAATATAATTTTATTGCTGGCCTTTTGCCAAACATGTTTCTGGCAGCATCTACCACAGTTGGAAAAATGTGTATCTGGGTCAGAAAAGACAAGTCGCTTTTCAGAACAACTCAATACATTTGGCAGAGATGCTGATATTATAATTGAACTCTTTCAGCAACTCTTTTTATGATGTACCCAGACACCAAACAAAACAAGATCTGCAATGTTGATTAGTGTCAAAATAGCTGACAGAGAAATAGCAAAATACTTTTAACACAAGGAAAAGCTATCAACAAATCCAGGGAAACAGTTTAAGAAATATAATTCACAAGGATTCAGTGAGGAGCATGGAGAAGAAAAAGCTACAAATGAAGACYGACCTTCTACCTGTACAGATGTTTACTGTATTAAATGCATACTCCTTGCTGTATGCTGAACTGAACTTTGGTTCCCTAATTCTTCACCACTATACAGAGCAAAATCCTTGCCACCAGAATCATATAAGCATTCTGCACAGGAATGCAACGGCAACACTGCRATTCATCTTTAATAAACCTCAGGCTGCTTCCCGCATTGCGCTCAGCATTCCTTTTCACCTGGAGATGGTATATTYGTAGTCATATTTTACTAGTTGCATTGGATTTAGCCTTTAGAAACTTGTATTTTTGCAGCCAAATGCATAATAACAGAGTAATAACTAATAACTAGAGTAAAGGTACTACCTCTGCCAAATTCCTATACTTTATATATAATAATTGAGTCCAGTATTGCCCCTACTTTTTCAGTTTCCATGATATTTTGAAAAAAAAAAAAAAAGTAAGTAGCTAAATCTCATTTCCCTCAACCCACATAAAACAAGGCCTTACACCAACCTGGGGAAAAGTCTCAATGTAAAAACCTCTTAAATCTGCACATTTAACATACACAGTGCATAAATAAATCAGCTTGTCTTATGAAAGACTGCATGCTGCAACTGCCAAACATTACACTCCTTAGTAGAGTTTCACACAGCCCTGATTATATGCAAGAACCATGTGCCTCAATTAAGATGCCAGAAACTATATTTTAAAGACTCCAATAAGGAAAATCCCCACAGTGAAAATTATTTTTCTCAACTTTTGCAGATAGGTTTCCCAGTTCAGCTCACCTACAAGATATCCCACAGAAAATAACATTCCTGTGTACATTTCCTGGACATCAGTGAAATATCTCACTGTGAAAGCATCAAACTCAAAACTGGCAGCTGACACTTWAATAACAAGCTGATAAATGAGCATTTTAGTGGACCTCCTGTTTAACCAATGAGAAACATGCAAAACAGAACTCAGTGTAAAACTAAGCACTACAGAAACAACAACAACAAAAAAAACAAACAAAAAAAACCCAGCAGCAACAACTTGGCAGGTGTCTTGTCTCATTATGATCCTCAAAAATCATAGATTAGATAGTACATAAAATAGTAAGTAGTACATAAATAATTAATGGAAAGATATATAGTTTGTCTTGTGACTAGACAGAAACCACCACTAGATTCTGAATGCATCTGAAATATTAAGCTAACTTCTAACTCCCAGCAACCTAAAACAGTCATTCCTGCTTTTCTGGTTAAACCACAAAGGAAACCTGAAGCACTTAAGAGTACACACCTGTACTCTTCACCTTTGTGAAGCAGTCAAAATTCACCAGCAACATCCAAATGATCTGAAATCCTTAACACAGCTACAGCATTTACAGTGAAAAAAAATAACTAAATAAGCAAAAAGGATCTTATTACAATTAAATGACACTTACTATCCACAATAACATTTTGCCTGACAGAGAAGTCTTAAGGAAAATGCTGGATCTATGAAATCACATTCTTCAAAACAGAATCACAGTTCTATATCCTCAACCACGCAGCGCAGCTCAGTGCCATGCTGGGCTTCTTACTGCCAAGTGTGGGTATTTGCATCCCAACACTTAAGTCTTTATATAC